CGGAAGGCTGAGGCGGAAGGATCGCCGGAGCCCAGCAGGTCGAGGCTGCGGTGGCCAGGAGTGGCCACTGCATTCCAGTCTGGGCGACAGAGTGAGACTCCAACTCAAAAAAAAAAAAAAGTGTGGGGTACAGTTCAGTGTTAGGTATACAAATGGTCATTATGCAGGTACCCTTGTTGATGGGGTGTGGCCCACCCCTCTACCTGGCAGTTTCCCACTACTGCCAATCCCTTTCTTATAGTATTATGATACTTGTTCAAGGTCTGCTTATGAGTGAGAACATGTGGTACCCAGTTCTTTGTTTCTGTGATAGATCATTCAATATTATAGACTCTAAGTCCATCCAAGTTGAAATGTTAACGAATGAAAAAAAGCAACATACAGAATAATAAGTATAAAAAGTTCCAATTTAGTTGAAATTAAACATACATTTTTATATTTAATTTTAGATAATATTTTACACATATAGACTGGTCTGTGTCTAGAAAAACATACAAGGCTACTTGGATGGCTGGGTGGGATGGAAACAAAATATTTGCTTTAAAACCCTGAAATGTTTATGTGTTGCATGTATTCCTAAAAGTTTGTAAGTAGTAAATAAATATTACATAATCAGGCTTTAAATTATATAAATTTATATCTACCAATCATTTTTGACTGGGCACAGTAGCTTATGCCTGTAGTCCCAGCAAGGGCAAGATGAAAGGATTGCTTGAGCCCAGGAGTTCGAGACCAGTCTGGCAACATAGCGAAACCTCATTTCTACAAAAAGTCAAACAATTAGCTGGGCATAGTGCTGGACACCTGTAGTCCCAGCTGCTCGGGCGGGCAAGACTGTGGTGAGGCATGACTGTGCCGCTCACTTCAGCTTTGGCAACAGAGTGAGACCCCAATTCAGAAAAATTATTATTTTCTCTAGCAACAGGAGAAAAAAGTCATATGTGTGAGTGTTTTTTCCCTGTGGTTTTTAAGTTACAAGAGGCAGCTAAAGATGCCAGCCAGTATGTGAACTAATCTTGCTGGTTCAAGGTAACAAAAAGCTGAGCTTGTTTTCACTCCTTTGTCTTCAGATCCCGGCCTGTGATTAATATTCAGAAAACCATCACCGTCACTCCTAACAAAATCGACCTCCGCCAAAAAACAGCATGTGGGGCACCTAGTGGAATATGGTGAGCGGCCCTCCGAGCTGGTGGAATCCTCCTCAGTTTCCCTACTCGGTTCTTTGATGGCCCTGTTGCCCCGAGGAGCCACAGGACAGAGGAATCTGTCAAGTGCTTATACACCATTTTATTCATCAGTGGGCAGTGGGGTGAGGAGAGCCAGGGAACGTGTTGGGTTTTTTCCACGTGTTGGGTTTTTTCCACTGCAGTAACTCATCTTTTGAGAAATATGTTGCTTGATTTTATACAGCCTCAAGGTTAAAGCCTGTTTTGAATATTCTGCCAAACCCGCTGGTTATAATCCTTCAATATGTAAGTACCTAGTACATTTTAAAAGATTTTATTTCTGCCACGTTGAAAGTTCTGCATAAATCATAGAAAAAATAAAACTACAATAGGCCAAAATGGATCCATAAATTCTTATTTAAAGAATTAAGTGTATCTTTTGTCTCCCCTTTAATCAGGAGCACAGCACAGTGAGGGAGGAAAATCTCTCCATTTAATTTGGTCCCTGTGTGAATTTTCCGGAGCAGATGGTTTAGGACAGAGTGCCTTGGAAAAGTAATTATTTGCTACCACAACTGTTTCCTCCATCTCTGTTTTTGAAAAGCAGTGTGGAAAGTTGATTTTGTGGTCGTGAAGTGGTGGGTGGTGGTTGTGGAAGGGCAACTTCTGGAGTCAGAGCACAGCATACAACTGTTGTCGAGCGATACTCTCTACTCCCCGTCTGCTCCCAGAGGCCTCCACAGCCCAGCACATCTACCATGTGTCCAAATGCAGGCCCCCAAGGAATTTGCAGATTGGCCCCGAGGGGTCAGACTTGGGCGCTGCTCCTGGTTTCAGCTTTGATGCTGACAGACACTACAAAACAGGGCAAGTCCTTTCACATTTGAGTTTTTATATTCCCATCAGTTAAAAACAATACCTCTGATAGTCATCACTGCATACGATTGCGGTGAAGATCCAAGGAGAAATTGCAGCGAAAAGCAGTTTGTCATTTATAACATATTATTGTGCTCCGTTTCTTTGTAATCCAAAATAGGAGTTTGGACATGAGTTTTGACACCACTAATGATCCACTAACAATAGTGATCACAGGCCGGGCTCGGTGGCTCAGCCTGTAATCCCAGCACTTTGGGAGGCCAAGGTGAGTGGATTGCCTGAGCCCTTCGATTCAAGACCAGCCCAGGCAACTTGGCAAGACCTCGTCTCCACAATACATCAAAAATTAGCCAGGCATGGTAGCACGTGCCTGTAATTTGGCTACTCGGAAGGTTGAGGCGGAAGGATTGCCAGAGCCCAGCAGGTCAACACTGAGGTGGTCATGAGCGTGCCACTGCACTTCAGCCTGGACGTTGGAGTGAGACTCCAACTCAAAAAAAAAAAAAGTGATCACAGCTAAGGTCCTCTATGGTGTGTGTGTGGGTTTTTTTTGTTGTTTTTTGGGTTTTTTTTGAGTTGGGGTCTCACTCTGTCACTCAGCTTGGAGTTCAGTGGCATAGTTATGCTAATGGCAACCTCAGCCTTCTGGGATCATGGACCCTTTTACCTCAGCATCCTGAGTAACTGTGACTACAGACACATGGCACCACACCTGGCTAACTTTTTAGTTATTTTTTTGTGGAGGCAAGGTTTCACTATGTTGCCCATGCTGCCCTCAAACTCCTGGGCTCAAGCAATCAGCCCACCTCGGCCTCCCAAAATGCTGGGATTATAGGCATGAGCCACCATGACAAGTCCTGTGGTGTATTTTAGTAGCAGCCAAACCTCTTCAGGTGTGAACCACCTGACCCAGCTTTATGGTCAAAGAGAGGGGCATGGGAATTTGAAGAAAGTCTTTTTTTTTTTTAATTTTTAGTATGTATTTATTTAATAGAGACAGGGTTTCACTGTGTTTCCCAGACTGGTCTCAAACTCCTTGGCTCAAATGATCTTCCTGCCTCGGCCTCCCAAAGTGCGAGGATTACAGGCACGATGCACTGTGCCTAGCCAAGAAGGTCTTTTCTGCAAGGAAGAAATGAAAAAAATAGGAGAGGTTCATACCATGTTAGGCTGTGGTCCCAGCAGTTCAGTATTCTAGTGTATGCCAAGGGAAGTTTTGTGAAGGAAAAGGTCATTCTGTCCTTTTGTATGTTTGTCAGTCTTCACTTCACTAGGAGGTAATGAGTTCTCTTAAGTTTTCTCCTTGTTATTTAATGTATTACTCTGTTTTCTTTTAATATCCCAGGATGTAACCTAATTCAAATAACCTACTGTTATTTAAAACAGAAAAAAATAACCACATTAAGAGCTAGAGTGCATGATGGTGATCCTCTCACGCAGATCATGACTCTGTTCTTAGCTGGACTTTAATTCTTACTTAATTCTATATGAAGTTTTATAAAACACTAATGAATGTACCCAATAAAGGAATAGAAGGGGGAGATATTGATAAGAGTCAACGAATCATGAAAAGTAAGTTTAAATAACCATACTGTGTGTTTAATTTTTTTTTAAGTCCACCTTCACCCAATTCTCACTGTCATGGGTTCACTCAGCCTTCCTCTTTCCAGATTCTAAGCTGTACTTAGATGGCTCTTCCATCTCCCCTTCTGTGGGGTCTTCGCCTTCTGTGGGGGGTCTCCAACAGGACCTGCAGACCTCACAGGAAGCATTCTTAGAGTGAATGTATTATGATTTTGTGCCTAGGGGGAGCTGTGGCCTTTTGCTTTGCTTTTGATGCTGCTAGCATTTTGTTGAGCATAGAAAGCAATTCTTTATGTGACTTTTAATGGCAAGAAAACCTACACCATGTCCTCAGAATCTGTCATCCTTTCAGTTTCGTTTGTATTATTTTTACCTGAATGCAATATCTTACACTTGCCCACCTGGATAACAGGCCTTTACCATTGTTTGGAATGGCTTAGAGAGACCAGGAGAAACAGTGATTCTTTGACTAGGCAGGGAGAGGAAATGGGGAAACATTTTTATTCTCTTCTGATTGTCATTTTTTCAAATCACTCTCAGTTTGACTATAGATTACAGTCTCACCAGAGCACTCCTTGTCTTCTCCCAAATTCATCATGGATATATACTACTAATAAATTACAAACTTCCTCCTAGCTTGAAGGCAGCATTTGATGTCCATGTATATTTTATATAAAACTTCTCCATTAACCAAATATTTACTGATGGCCTATTATAAGTAGGACATTTTCCTTTGAAGACGTTCAGAGAACATTTACTTTCATTGCTTTGACTTCCACGGTATTGAGAAATTCTAAATGAAATAAAACAGAACTTCCACAAAGCTACATGAGTTAATACATCTAAAATCTCCAGTATCCAAGAATGTGAGCTTATTGTTTGATGGGGCTATTTTAACTTGGCAGTCCTCAGATGTGGTGTTCTATACATACAGATATCTATAATTGAGCCATAATGAGTGTTCTACTCGGCTTGCCCCTTGAGAGGTCAGCAGAGGTGGCCTGCAAGGATTTTAAGATGATGTGAACTGTCGGGGGGGTTAGGGAAGGTTAGAGTGGGTTTGGCAGATAAACGGTTTTCACGCACCCACAACTCCCACACTTTGGCTGTGAGGGGCACTCAGCCCGTAAGCCTTTATCTGGTTCATTGTCAGGCTAGCAGGTCACTTATAAATGGATGATGTCAAGACTGCAGAGGGCCTAAAATGGGGGAGTGTTCCATTTGGCAGCTGTGACATTTAAGATTTCTTCCGATGGACACAAAAATTAACATTCTAACTGTCAGTGTTTCTAAATTTTGGCCTTACATATCTGAATAGCTATCGTTTCAGCATACGAATAATGTCACTGTGTGTGTGTACATGTACATGTTGTGTGGGAATCAACTACTCCTGCTTTCGTTCATCTATTCTATAAATCATATTTCTATCAGGTGTTGTGCTAGTTGATCCGGTGGTGAACAAGACCGCTGTGATTCCTGTCCTCAGCTTTGCCCCTCTGTGGGATAGTCAGGAGATCATAGCACGGGGGCTAAGTGGAGAGATAGAATACTCTAGAATTGTGAAGGTGGTACCAGGACAGGCTTCCTGGAAGACGCCAGCCGAGGGAGGGAGTGACTCATGCAGAGCTGCAGAGGCAAGTGAGACCAGGACATCTAAGACGCTATATAAACCAATCATCTTTTGTGGTTGTGATGGAGACTTGGAAGTTAGTCGTGCCTTTGTCCCTCAGTTTGACCTGGAGCCTCCATTTCCTCATCTGCAAAAAGAGGGTATTAAAATAGATGCTTTCATAGTCCTAGCTACTCAGGAGACTGAGGCAGGAGGATCACTTGGGCCTAGGAGTTGGAAGCTGCAGTGAGCTATGATTGCACTACTGTACTCCAGCCTGGGCGACAGAGAGAGACTGTCTCCTATCTCCTAAAAAAAATTCAAAAAAGTCTCTTCCAACTTTAAAGTGAATATGAGAATGTGGGTTGTTCATCTTCCATGTTTCCTGTAGTAGCTTTTTTTTTTTTTCCTTCTCTAGCCCTTTGCCCACTTACTTTGGTTTGCTTTCCCTTTTGATGGTTAGTGAGGACTTAGTGAATGTACGTGATGTAGGTACTGGCCCATGAAAAACATAGTTAACTAGCAGCTACAGCCAGCGAACCGACAAAGAATGCATTCTAAAGTCAAAAAATGAGATTGTGGTAATCCTAGTCTAGCCAGTTTCCAGGCTCCATTAGAATAGGTCACCGAGAGCAGACTGCTTCTGCTAGACGGCCTTCCATCCCCTAAAAAGAATAGAGTTGTCCTCTTAATTCTTCATTAAAAAAACTGAAAGGTCTCATCCTACTGTCAAAAGACTTTTCCATTGCTATAATATATATTGTTCCTCTGTTTAGACAACTATCCTTTACCAGTGCTGCTTAAACTTTAATGTGTTTAAGAATCACCTGGTGCTGCTATTAAAATGCAGATTCTGGCTCGTTCAGTGTGGCTGAGGCCTAAGGTTCCGGATTTCTTACAGGCTCTCAGGAGATACCGCTGTTCTAGACACCATTTCTGAATAGCAAAGGCAGGAGGCTACTTCCACATCTACCGCTGAAAGGGAGAAGAAAGTCAGTTTAGGCCCTCAGGGAGTGTTGGATGCCTCTAGTTGCCCATAGTATTCTGTGGGTTGGTGAACTTCAGATAGAAACTGGTTGATTCTTAGTTGCTGCTGCTGAGAAGGGTTTGACTTATTCTCGAGCTCCCCCAGGTGGCCCAGTGAAAATTTAAAGCATGTTAACAGCAAAAGGAAGGAAAGCCAGCTTGATCTGACACATCACAGTTGTTAAAATGCACATTGCTAGGAAATAAGAGGAGAAACAAAGGCAGTGGGAGAAAGTGTTGCTCTACCAGGAATTAAAATCTCATAAAAGGATTCAGCATGCTAGTGGCTGGATTGTGTGTGTGCGTGCATGCATTTAATATGATTCTGTTGCTTTTATCTAGCAATCATGGGCACAATTGAAGCCGAAAAAGAAAGAAGAAAATCTGGGCTGTCGTCAAGGGTTCACTTTCGAAACCAAGGTTCTGAGCCCAGATATACTCGAGAACTAACTCTGAATAGGCAGATGCAGAAAATGTGCATGGAGGAAACCCTCTGGCTACAGGTAAGGGCTACAGACAGTCGCTTCTGTTTTTTAAAGAGAACAGAGGCATGTTTTGTGGTGACGTTTATAGAGTTCTAAAATTTATTCTAACAACCCATTCATCCATACAAAGTCATTGTTTTGGAGATTCCTCAGTAACATCTAGACCATACTTGACTGTATGACTGTATACTTTTCAGGAAAATATCAGAGATAAACTGCGTCCCATTCCCATAACTGCCTCGGTAGAGATCCAAGAGCCAACCTCTCGTAGGCGAGTGAATTCACTTCCAGAAGTTCTTCCCATTCTGAATTCGAATGAAGCCAAGACCGTTCATACTGATGTAAGTCTTTCTGATTTTTGTTGTGCCAAAGTTTTGTGCCACATTATGATGCTAAACCAAATGTCTTTGAGGGCGGTAAAACTAGTGATTTGATTTAAAGGCCTTTCCTTTGCATTAATATGTCTCTTGATATATGTCCAGTTTGTTTGAGAAGGCTTGTTTCTCCAATTGACAATAAATCTAGAAACATACAAAATGCAATTTGGGACCAGAGCATATTTTTCTTCATGATTTTTGGCCACGATAACTTACTGAGAATATAATTGGCAGTTTATATTCTCATATTGTAGCTGTATGTAGAGAGAAAAATGCATTGTGGATATGAAAATATAGGAAGTAAATTGTTGATAGTCAAAACGTTAAAATCAAAGAAGGTCAAAATTCAGCAAAGCAAAAAAGCATTACTAGCAATGAAACAGTCCTTTATAATAGTGCTAATGTAACCTAAGTCATCTTTAGAAGAAAAATATATATATTATACTCATATGGCTATCAGATGAGATGGGGTCTGTTTGCTAGGGTTTAGGTTGACTGAGAAGCAAGATTAGCCTGGAGAACTATGACAGCTTGATTTTGCATCATGGCCTTGCTGTCAAAGGCTAATTGATAGAGGAGTGTCTGTCCACTCTGAGGGAGTGACTTATTGCTGCAGCTTTCCAGGAGTGAATACTAGCTGTCTCACTCAGACTCAGGAGCTGATGCTTAAATCTACATTTAGTCACTGTTTTTTGCCACCAAATATGATTCCTTATATTTTTCTATGTTTTGTGTACTTTGATGTTGTTGTTATTATTATTATTTGAGACTGAGCCTCACTCTGTCACCCAGGCTGGAATGCAGTGGCACCATCACAGCTCACCACCACCTCTTAGGCTTAGGCAATCCTTTCATCTCAGCCTCCTAAGTAGCTGGGACTACAGGTGCACATCATCACACCTGTCTAATTTTTTAATTGTTTTTGTAGAGACAAAGTCTCGCTACATTGCCTAGGCTGGTCTCGAACTCCTGGGCTCAAGTGGTCCTCCTAACTTGGCCTCCCAAACTGCTAGGATTATAGGCATGCACCACTGCACTGGCCTTTGATGTTATTGACATTAAATATTGTTATATTAATATTTTTGTGTATATACCCAGCTTCATAGCCATGCTAAGCATAAAAAGCAAGGAGATGGTTTTACTAATTATTTATCAGTGTGATTGTCTAGCACCCACTAGCATTGTGCAAGTGTGCCATTTGCTTACCTGACCTTGAGCTCTCTGTTTCTTCATCTGTCCAGTGGGGTCTATAATAACAGTATCCTTGGAAATCTGTTCGGAGGACTAAATGAGTAAAGAAATGTAAATAATATTAATTATTGATAATTCTTAGCAGTAGCCCTATAAAGTAGGGTGGTGGCATTCTCATAGGACCTATGATGAAACGTGGACTCTAAAAGGTTAAGTGACTTGTCCAAAGCCCCACAGATAAGGAAGGGGGGCAGAGCTGGATTTGGAAACCAAATCTGTGTTTCTGCAGGGTCACACTCTACTACATCATGCTGCCTACATGCCCTGGTGAAAGTGCTCTTATTTTTTGTCTTTTTTGAGTTAGTGTCTCACTGTCACCCAGGCTGGGGTACAGTGGTATGATCACAGTGATCACAACTCACAGCAACCTTGACCTCCTGGGCTTAGGTGATCCTTCCACCTCAGCATCCCTAGTAGCTGGGACTACAGGCGCATGCCACCATGCCTGGCTAATTTTTTTTTCTTTGTAGAGACAAAGTTTTGCTGTGTTGCCCAGGCTGGTCTTGAACTCCTGGGCTCAAGCTGATCTCCTGCCTTGGCCTCCCAAAGTTCTGGGATTACAGCATGAGCCACTGCGCCTAGCCAAAGTGTTCTTAAAACACCATTTTGTTAAAGGACAAAGTAGAAATTAGATGCATGGCAAAGTATGCTTGGAACTTGAATTCTGCAATGGTAATTGTCAAACAGAGAAATAAACAGTATGGAATCAGCCAGTCACCTACTTAGATGATTTTCTGAGTCTCACATGGTATAAATGACAATGGTTTTGTTTTCCTACAGGTGCACTTCTTAAAAGAAGGATGTGGAGCCGACAATGTATGTAATAGCAACCTTAAACTAGAATATAAATTTTGTACCCGAGAAGGAAATCAAGACAAATTTTCTTATTTACCAATGTAAGAATCGCTCTGTAGCACTGGCAAAAATGATTCTGGTTTCACAGTGGCTTTTTATTAAGAAAGGTTTACTAAAAATGTATTGAGGACTTTGTTTTTTTCTTTGTTACTGTTTTTTTTTAATAGTCAAAAAGGTGTGCCAGAACTAGTCCTAAAAGACCAGAAGGATATTGCTTTAGAAATTACAGTAACAAACAGCCCTTCCAATCCAAGAAATCCCACAAAAGATGGTGATGACGCCCATGAAGCTAAGCTCATTGCCACTTTTCCAGACACTTTGACTTATTCTGCATATCGAGAACTGAAGGCTTTCCCTGTAAGTATTTCAGAGACCACCTGGAAGGAAAAACCCAACACTGTGGAGCAAATGAACATATTGTGACCTAGTGTGTTTTTCTGTTATAGGAGAAACAGTTGAGTTGTGTTGCCAACCAGAATGGCTCACAAGCAGACTGTGAGCTTGGAAACCCTTTTAAAAGAAATTCCAGTGTAGGTGATGCCTTCACATATTGTATTTTACTGTTTTAAGTACCATTACAGTATCTATATGTGTGGCCTGTGTTAACAGCTATTTGGTTTTTTTTAGGTTATTTTTTATTTGATTTTAAGTACAACTGAGGTCACCTTTGACACCAAAGATCTGGATATTAATCTGAAGTTGGAAACGTAAGAGTTACCTCAACCTTTCTATTAAGAATTATTTCATGAAAACTCGGGCAGTCAATGAATTGGCTGATCTAACTTATAAAAGAAGCATAAATGTGATGAGAAAACTGACTGTAAAATACAACCCTATTGTTTTCTTTTCATTTTCAGAACAAGCAATCAAGATAATTTGGCTTCAATTACAGCAAAAGCAAAAGTGGTTATTGAACTGCTTTTATCGGTCTCCGGGTAAGTGTTTGTGTTTAGCATAACAAATCAATGTTTGAAAGAACCATTTACAATCCTCACTAAAGCTGGTGTTTTTTAATTTGACAGAGTTGCCAAACCTTCCCAGGTGTATTTTGGAGGTTCAGTTGTTGGTGAGCAAGCCATGAAATCTGAAGATGATGTGGGAAGTTTAATCGAGTATGAATTCAGGGTAAGTTGGAACCACTGGTCCTTTTATTATACCAACAGCTAACATATAATAGGTATGATCTTGAGTATGTAATTTTAATAAATAAGCATTATAAGTCCTCAGTTAAAAATCAGTTTGCCAGTTTTAAGCAACATACTGACTTAAAGTAAAACTTTTATCCTCAGAATGAAGAACAACTGTCACTCAACATGAGATATTGTTCAGAATCCAGTTCGGTTTGGTCTTTTTCATACTAGAAAGTTTTCCTATGTATGTAATGTAGAGACAAAATAATATTTAATTTTTTCCCCCAAAGTCTATAAAACAAAGAAAAATCACAAAGTAATTTATATTTAGTTTTATTGTATATTACTTCCTCCATTATAAGGTCCTCTTTCTTACTGCTTGTGGTTGAGAGAGTATTAATGTTTGCTTACTTTTCACAAACCCAATTTTGTGATGGTAGATGTGGATTTGGTATATGCTGGTAAGGAAGGCTAATGATTGGCTCTGGACCATTTTGAAGTAGGCCATCACAGTGAATCTCTGTCCAGATACATGAATATAAACACATGTTACCAAGTCTGCTCATAACTCATATGTGAGTTTAGATCTGTGTGGTTCAAATCACATTCCTGAAAGTATAAATGACCTTTGAGGTGAAAGTCTGAAATGGCAAGAATGAGCCCACCTCTGACTCCAGCAGGATGGAGAGGCTAAATTCTCCTTTATATGTCTCTTAGCATGACAAACACAGCTGGGACAGGTAGTGGTGGTGGTTATGATCTCTATGCAGGTATGATTGAAAAGGAAGCCTGTGGTTTCCGGTGCAGTCTCTGCACAAACAAAGAGAGTTCTTACCTACTCCATTTGGCTTCTGCTGCAGGAGGTTGTTCCATTCCCCGCTTGAACTCTCAGATTCATGGCTGTCCTGATGGTTTTACCCAGTCTCCCCTGGAACAGGCAGCTTCATTTTCATGGTGGATGGGGTTTTCCCGAAGCACTGCTTTGGCACAGGCTTTGTTCCAAGCAGGGCAGTTACAGAGTGATTCACACATGACTTTCCTTGGGTACATTGAGAACATGCTATATCTAAGCCACTGATTCTGTTGCATACAGCAGTTGTTTGTGGATTGAATTAGCAATCGTTTCTCTTTGGTCTTTTTTGTTCCTGTTTTTATTGACAAGACTCTTTAAGTACTAATCTCTGTTTTAAATACCCTATCTGTAGTCCATTTTGAAGTCTGTGTTTTCATTGTAGGATCATGTTGACTATGTTAGCTTCTTTCTCTTGGCAATATGCGCTGCTACTTAATTTTACATTGACGATTACATGAAACTGCTGGGGAGGGGGAATTGCAGGATTGGCAGTAGTGGGAATCTGCCAGGGGAGGGAGGGGCACACCTCATCAACGAGGGTACCTTCATAATGAACATTTGTATACCTAACCCTGAATTGTACCCCACATCTTTAAAATTAAAAAAATTTAAAAATTTAAAATGAGATTACATGGAGATAATATGTATTATTTTCTGACAGGTAATTAACTTAGGTAAACCTCTTAAAAACCTCGGCACAGCAACCTTGAATATTCAGTGGCCCAAAGAAATTAGCAATGGCAAATGGTTGCTTTATTTGGTGAAAGTCGAAGCTAAAGGATTGGAAAAGATAGCTTGTGAGTCACAAAGTGAGATAAACCCTTTGAACTTAAAGGTATGTTGGTGTATTTGCCTACTGTCTCCACAGGTGTAAATAAGAGAAGCTAACTTTTTAGGGGGGGATCATTACTCTCCTCAGGAAACTGACATTCTAGCAGGTTGACTTTTTGTTTGGTCATCCCAATTTTTCTTTTCTAATTGAGTAGCCGAGGCAGTGAGGCATTTTTGCTGATTAGTGGCCATTATGGCACCTAAGGCAGAGCCATTTAGTGCTTGTTTAGGCAAGTGACATTTTCTGAAGCTTTATGATCTAGTATGGTATAGGACAAGGAGGACTGGGACATGCTCCTTGGGGTGGGCCGGTCAATGTTCATGCCAAGTAGAACCAATCTCATTACAAAAGATATTGGCATCTTAGCAAATGACCCTGAAAGCTTTGCATTCTTATTTTTTAAATGGTAAATATTTATTGAGTGCTTGTTGAATCTTGGGCACTGTGCTAATAAGCATTTTGTTTGCATTTTCTGATCATTTTCCAGATAGTCTTATGAGGTATTTTTATTATCTGCGTCATTTCACAGAGCGGTACACAGATTCAGAGACTAAGTAACTTTCTCGGAGTCACTCAGCTGCCAAGGGACAGACAATGCATTCAAGCTTACTTCTGCCTAATTTCAAACCCCATACTCTTAACCCCTCTCTATATTGTTCCACACTATGTAATTGGCTTTTCATTTATGATCCAGTGAAATGAAAGTTTGCTTTGTCATTGCATGTCTGTTTTTGTTTTTGTTTTTATTCTAAAGTGATTGGTTATGGTCAGTGTTCAGATGTTCAGAGTTGGTGACTTATAGCATGATCCTCAACTCATCAACTTTAAAAAAACATTTTTTTTTTCAGGCTGGGTACAGTGACTCATGCCTGTAATCCCAGCACTTTGAGAGGCCGAGGCAGAAGGATTACTTGATCCCAGGAGTTTGGGACCAGCCTGGGCAACATAGTGAGACCATATCTCTATAAAAAATAAAAATTAAGGCTGGGCACGGTGGCTTAAGTCTGTGATCCCAGCACTTTGGGAGGCCGAGATGAGAGGATTATCTGAGGGGTTTGAGACCAGCCTGGGCAACTTGGTGAGACCTCGTCTTTACAATAAATAAAAAAATTAGCCAGGCATGGTAGCACACGTCTGTAGTTCCAGCTACTTGGAAGGCTGAGGCAGAAGGGTCACCTGAGCCCAGCAGGTCAAGGTTGCGGTGGCTGTGAGTGTGCCACTGCACTCCAGTCTGGGCAAGAGAGTGAGACTCCAACTCAAAAAAATAAAAAATAAAAATAAAAATTAGCCAGGAGTGGTAGCAACACACCTGTAGCCCAACTACTTGGGAGACTGGGGCAGAATAATCACCTGAGCCCAGGAGGTTGAGGCTGCGGTGACCTGCACTCCAACCTGAGTAACAGAGTGGACCCTGACTGAAAAAAAAATTATTTTTTTTTTATTATGCCCTTCCTAGTTTTTACTAGAAGGAAAATACGGTTTTCAAAGTTCTTATATGACTTGGTTTTCAGTGTTTTCCTCTGACTTAGTTGTATAAATGATCTTTTTTTTCTTCTTACTCTGTTCTTCACGGTTACTTATTCATTCAAAATGTGCTATCTACTACATGTTAGGCACAGAGCTGGATGTAGGGACATAGGAATAAGATTTGATTCCTGATCTCAGTATACTTATAGTTTGGTGAGGACACAGAAGAACAAAAAAGGCATCCTTCTCTGAGTTTTAGAATCAGAGTAGGAAGAAATTAATGACATAAACTTAGTCCTATGAATAAATCAATAGACTTGGAGTTAGAGTGATAACAACACTTGCTGGCTTTACATGTATGTTATTTCTGTGTCTTTGGTGGCAGAAGGGTGAATATTGTTGATTTTGTGAATCTGGCATTATTTGGGATCATGTGCTCAATAGATTTGTATGATAGTGACAGGATTATGTCATTGGAACTATTGGATATAATTCTTTTCAGGAATCTCACAACTCAAGAAAGAAGCGGGAAATTGCCGAGAAACAGATAGATGACAGCAGAAAATTTTCTTTATTTGCTGAAAGAAAATACCAGACCCTTGTAAGTATTTTTCGAGAGCTGTGTGACAAAGGTTGAGGGGAGGAAGGACTTGCCCAGAACCGTGTTTTGACGACCAGTCTTCCCTTTCTCTCTAGAACTGTAGCGTGAACGTGAACTGTCGGAATATCAGGTGCCCTCTGCGAGGGCTGGACAGCAAGGCCTCTCTTGTTTTGCGCTCAAGGCTATGGAACAGCACGTTTTTAGAGGTGTGGCCCTGCCATGAGGTTGTCCCCTGGAAGTCATTTGCATCTGCCTAGGACATTTCTCACTTCTCTAATGCATTCACTGTCTCCGCACAGGAATATTCCAAATTGAACTACTTGGACATTCTTGTGCGGGCTTCCATTGATGTGACTGCTGCCGCCGAAAATATCAAGCTGCCCAACGCAGGCACTCAGGTGAGAGGTTCCCCGGCTTTGTTCAGATGCAGAGCAAATCCCTCTTCCCTGTACCCAAGAGCCTGAGGCATACTCTTTGGCACTCATTTCTCTCACAGCCCTGTTGCCCCATTAAAGAGAAAAGACAATGTTTTAAGGGCTGCCACCTGAAGCTGTATTTTAATAGAATCATTGAAAGAGGGAAGTAAATCTAGGGTCATCTAGCTCAGTGACTATGGTAGATTTGAGAACTATTGGCTCAGTGAAAGAATGGGTGCATGTCACCGCTCTGTAGAAACCCATATCTTCTGCCATCCCTGATGCTGCAACCGTTGTTGGAATGCCCCAGTGACAAAAGGCCCATGCCATGGGTGGCCTGTAATCCCAACATTTTAGAAGGTAAACATGAGAGGATTGCTTGAGCCTAGGAGTCTGAGATCACCCTGGGCAACATAGCAAAACCCTGTCTTTACAAAAAAAATCAGAAAGTGAGCCAGGCGTGTTGGCACTCAACTGTATTCCCAGCTACTCGAGAGGCTTAGACGGAAGGTTGGCCTAAGCCTAGGAGGTCAAGGTTATGGTGAGCTGTGATGGTGCCACTGGACTCTAGCCTGGATGACAGAGTGAAACCCCGACTCAAAAAAAAAAAAAAAGAAAGAAAGAAAAGAAAAGATATCTTCCTGGTTATTATGTTTCTTGGACAAGTCTAAAATATGTGTTTTCTCTTGGCCATGTAGCAGCCTCTCAAAAAAATTGAAAGAAACGGTTGTGCCTCCTTGGACATTTATTCTCTTCAGAGCTACACATCCAGCTTTTCAGTCGCCTGTCATGTGATTCTTGGCCTCTGACCTCCAGAGCCTGCCCTTACTGGGCAATGTGGCTTCTACCTGGACAGAGTAGCTGAGGTGTGGTCTGCTCAGACCAACTTAACCTGGAGTCTTTCTGTCAGACCACACTTCTGTCAGACCAACCTAAAATGTGCTTTTTAAATCTTCACTGGAGTATATTTGAATTTCTAGCAGCTACTATTTCTGTGTTCATGTTCTACTTGAAACTAACAGGTGTTTTCATCTGAATTTGTTGTCAAGCTATTCTAGTATCCTGTCCTTTAGCAATTTTTAAAAAATCGAAATGTATGCCTTTAAATGTATCCTCGTATTTTATGTGCTTTGGTCTGTGTTCATTGTTTCAGTTTGCAAAGTAATTTTGAACCTTGCTTGGTCATTTGCTCTCTCAACTTTCTACCCATGCAAATTTTCAAAACAGAAGCATGCTTTCTATGTCTTCATCCAGGTAATTAACAAAAATGCTGAACAGGACTAGATGCGGAACCCAGTGATGAACCAATAGTGAGGAGTTCCTTGTTGAGGCCTAGGAACCTACAGGGACTTGTCTCAGGATCTTGAAGCAGAATGACTGCATGTTATGATGGGAAGCATGAATGGGAATGTTTTGCAAGAGAGACTAGCGAAAAAATTTTGTGAATTACTGCTCTTAAGTCAGTCTGCCAGTCTACTAAGGAAAACATTCTGGCTTCAGTTGTTTAGCTAGCTGGAATTTAAGGGAGCCTCCCTGATCATCCTGGTTTCCAAAACATAATGGTCCTTAGGATACCTTTATAATTTACCATCCAAACCAGAATACGTTTGTCTAGGACACATGCTAACGGGCAGGATGCTGGAACGAGTAGTGTCAATCAGGACTGTCCCAGACTCACCAGGACATAGCGACAAGGCAAAAAGGAACTTCCAAATAAGCCATAGCTTCCCTGAGAATCCTTTCTCTGCCTCTTTGAAGGCAGCAGCTGTAGTTTTGGTAACTGTAAATCAGCAACTCTGAGAATCACTGAGGTTTTAGAGCTGGAAAGGGAACACTTTAGAGAGAAGGGACTAACATTAATATAAAGCATTAATAAAATATCTTTAATTTGCCAGATACCTTATATTTTGTCATCATTTAAACGTCATAAGAATGCCAAGTAGACATTGTGCCCATTTTACAAACAAGGAAGTAGACTCAGAGAGGGGATGTCATTTGGGTCCCTGATTGAAACCCATAATTGTCTGATTCCAGGACTCCTGTTTTTGACTCTGTGACATGTGGTCCCCATAAAGTACCCAAATCTCAAACTCAAATGAGAAAACTTGAGTCCAAGAAGGGTAGAAGGGTATCTCCCCTTCAATGTCATGTGATAAGCAAGTAGAGCTGGGACCAGGCATCAGATCCTACAACTCATTCTTTAAGTGCTCTTTCCTTCTGGAAAATGATGGAACTGGGAGCCCTGATATTCAGTCTAATGGCTGGTTCACAGATGAAAATGAGGTTCTGTTGGACACTTCATGTTCTCAGAACTTAGAGAACTCATGCTTCTTGATGGAAATTTTGGAGTTTTTTCTGTAACCGTACTTTGTTTAATTGGTAGATTTGTGAATGGATTACTGGTCTCATATGTAGAATGCATATCTTTTTAAAATTGAGACATTTTCTTTTCTCTAGCCTTCTGATAACTCTTCTATTTTCTGTGATTTCTGAGATGCAATAGCTCAGATATCCTATCTAAACATTTCTTTAGTATTTTAAGGTGCAGATTTTCTGTGCCTGAAGATTTGAGCTTAAGTGTCAGGATGTCCTCCTTTTTTATTCTCTCACTTATTGTGGGTTACAATTTTATCTTTATCTCGATTTCATCTATCTTTTCCAGTCTGAAGATCATTTTCTTTGGAATAGAAGCAAAAAAGGTTGAGTAATTCAGTCTTGTCTTCTGGTTTTAATATCAAAACTTCTTGTTGTTACTTTTACTTTACTTCTGGCTTACAAAAAAAAACTAATAAAGAAAAGACTTGTTGTTTCTTTATAAACCCAACCAATTTCAGGAGTTTTGTGTTTACCTCTCCACAAAATACTTTTCAATTAAGACCCTATTATAACAAAGGGAGAGCAGAAGTCACAGAATTGAACCAGGTAGGATGGTTGCATTTTAGCATCAATTAAGTTAAATCCATCCAGTTAACAAGTACCTGTTAAGGACATGCGTGTACCTTCCCTGTGTTAAGTGTAGAGATGCAGAGTTGAATAAGATACAGCATCCATTGTTAAGAATTTCACGCTCTAGGAGAGAACCAGGATAGAATTGTTGAATGAAGCCAAGGAAGGAGGGCTTGTTACTGGTGCTATTTATATATTCCCATTCATGCCTAAGGAAGCAAGTAGAGAGTATCCAAGTTTCCTTGCTGACAAAGATAAACAAAAATATGATAGGTAAAAGGCACATAATTCTTTAAGGGAGTGAGATTTTCTTTTTTGGCTCTAAATTCAGAGAAGAACCTGAGATATGAATCCTTTTATAAGATGGTTTCTCGTATGAGGAACAATCACAAAGAGAAAACAGTGCCCTTAATAGATGGTTTTATAAAATATATGAAAATCCCTTAATCAGGTGATTTCCTGTGCTGATGTTCAATGAGAGCAGAGAATATTACATTATGGGGTAATTTAGAGAGAGTGGGCTCATGTGGTCCAAGCACTGCTCACTGGTCACCATCAGCATCAGCAGAGTTCAAGCCTCCTTTCCCCGATGGGCATGTGGTAGATGAGGTTCACGTACATGCCTCATCCCCACAGAGATGCCTACGTTTTTACAAAACCAAAAGAAAAATTACTTGTGGAGTTGTAAAGTTCTATTTGTTTCTGCCCACCTTAAGCTTCCATCACGCATCAGTAACAGCTGCTATGACAGGATGGAACAAGGCTTCTCAGAGCTCTGGGAATCACAGCCACCATTGGTCTCCCCCCTCACTTGGCTCTGTGGCCAGCACCCCCTTGTTCCCAATCCCAGCTGGAGAATGACTATCATACCCAAAACAAAAAACATTTCAGTTGACAATTTAAGCAAACAACCAATAGAATCTTGCTGACTCTCTGGAACCACAGACCACATCTGCCTTTTAAATGTGTAGCCAGCCTGGACCCTGACGTCGCCCCTCAGTATTTGATGCCCAGTAAGTTGTTTAACAACATCTGAAAGGCTCCAATTTCTGGTTTGAAGGGCTTAGAGCTTCAGCTAGATTCCCGTCCACTTTGCCATCCCAGGCTGCAAAATTAAAAATTACCTCGTTTAACCCTTATGCTGTTAGGTTATAGCCATTTATGGGAGTGTTTTCCCCCTATTGCCAGCTGTTTTAAAAGCACTGATACACAGGGTGTGATTATAATAAAGTTGGGTCCTCTTGCCAAGGGCCAGTCTCCACTCTGTACTTCCAGATTTAACAGAATTTATTTTTACAGATGAGGTTGACCTTACCACATGGCTGCCTTGCCCCAAGGACACATCATGTGCCTTCCCTGTGCTATATAACAGGGAAGCAAAGTTAAATGAGAGGCAGCATAGGTTAATGGAAATCACTGTTTTGTTTTGTATTGTAGTTAGCTTACCAGTCACATAATTATACTCTTTCTTCACTGATCTGTAACTATTTCCTCCTTCTTCCCTCCATTGTGGATGTCTTGTGCTGGGTTGTTTTAGCTTAAAGCTGGGATACATAAGGGGTGGGAAGCGAGGGGTGGAGAAAGAAGGAAAATAAGCCAGGAGGCCACCCTGGGACTGAAAGCCTGGGGAAACCTCATTTAGAGCATAACAGGAAACATAGTTGATGAAAGTGTTTCGTGCCTGTCTGATGTTGTCAGTATAGTTGGCTAAAAACTCCAGATGTGAATTACTGCCTACTAAATATTTAAAGAAAAGCAGTTTTGCTGCTTTTAAGCATTTTCTGTAAGTCAAATGAGGTTGATAAGCTGGTTTTTAGTAGAAGCAGGAAGGAAAATACTTCAATGAAGACAAGTTTCAGAAAAGAATCATAGTATAGTATAGAAGTAATGAGGCACAGTGTAGACATAGAAGCACAATGTGGACATAGAAGCAGCATCCAGGGTTCAATACTAGTATAGAATACTTCACTAAAAACATTTCTCAGAATTTAAATGCTCCCTCTCAGTTTTGTTTACCCTTTACTTTATCTTAATTCAGAAAAATCAGAAACTTCAAACCTGTAGATCTCCAATCAGTGTAGTTTACAAAATCTTGTTCATAGCAATCACCAGGTCTTTTGCATGCATTGAAAAATAATTCCTGGTATCACAAAAGTCCATTTGAATTCTAAACCCATGTAACTGAGTTGCCGGAAATTGCCAAAAGCAGCTCTTTTAGGTTTCTGAGTAAACACTATGAATACTTAATTGTTATTTACCAGCTATCAAATATTCTGAGTTTAAGCTTCTCATTGTCAGCAGCTTAAACTGTAAGCTGCCTCTGAGTGAATTGAATGCTTAGTTTGACCATACACATTATTGTAGAAGATGGCACCAAGCCATTTCAGGAAATGGTATTTTTTATGAGGGTCTTTAGTTTTATATCCTAAGAAAAAGCTTAAATGGTATCCATCAGTCATATAACTCAGTCCCTATTTTTATATCTCACAGCATCTTTAAAATCTTAGTGAGGAATATAGGTTAATTGTACATAAACTTGGCCCTTTTCTTTCCATGGCTGAAAATTAACTAAGAGAAAGAGTTACCATTTTTAAAAAGATACTGGATCATATAGATGTAAAAAGATTGGCCATGTACGGTAATTGTTGAATTGATGAATACATGAGGATTCGTTACACAGTTTTCTCTACTTTTTTTAAACAAAAATTATTTAAAGATAAGTTAGCAAATAAATAACTACTTTGTCAGAACATAACCCAGCATTTTCAAGATTCTGGGAAAAGATGTTCAGGGAATGCCTCTTGGAGCAATATCCCATTATTAAGAAAAAGGATCTTACATCAGAAAGTCATCTCATCCATCCACAGACTGTGTTGTCCAAAATATGTCCTATAGCAAAATTAAAACTATAGACTACTGGTATTAATTCTCACCCCTGTAAATAGTGATGGCTACTTTCTTTTCTGCCCTATAGGTTCGTGTGACTGTGTTTCCCTCAAAGACTGTAGCTCAATATTCAGGAGTACCTTGGTGGATTATTCTAGTGGCTATTCTTGCTGGGATTTTGATGCTTTCCCTATTAGTATTTTTACTATGGAAGGTAAGTTATATCTGGCATTTGAGTTTCATGATATAAACTTTGATTTTGTATTTTTTAAAAATATGAATTAACACTGATAGTGTGTTTTCCTTTTCATTGCATTCTTTTTCCTGCATTTTAGTATACAATTTTTTCAACATATAGCAAATTCTAGAGACAATGAACATCTATATATCTACCATGAACATCTATATATCTACCTAATAGTTTACATATAAAGGTATATTAGGCGGGCTCAGTGGCTTAGCCTGTAATCCTGCGCCTTTGGAAGGCTGAGGGGAGTGGATTGCCTGAGCCCGTGGGTTTGAGACCCGCCTAGGCAACTTGGCGAGACCTCATCTCTACAATAAATCAAAAAAATTAGCCGGGTGTGGTAGCGCACGCCTGTAGTTCCAGCTACTTGAAAGGCTGAGACGGAAGGATCACCAGAGCCCAGCAGGTCGAGGCTGCGGTGGCCAGGAGCGGCCACTGCACTCCAGTCTGGGCGACAGTGAGACTCCAACTCAAAAAATAAAATAAAATAAAGGTATATTATTTGTATACTATAAGAAGGTTCTTAAATAAATACATGTTAGTGTATCTTACATATAATTTAGCATGTTTGGCAAGTAACAAATTTAAATTTCACTATTTTAGCATTTTCTTCACCTAAGATCAAAGTCTAGATCTAAGATCTATTGTTGGTGTTAAATTAATCTGAATCTATGTCCCTGCTAATTTCAATTTCTGTAGAAATGTTCATGTCAGCTATTGGAGTTTATTACACTTGCCACTAGATTAGGAATAGAAAAGCATGAAATGAATGAATAACGATCTCAAGGGACCATCATAACCTATAAAGGTCTAGGCTCAATAATGATGTTCCATATTAAAATTTGGTCTTCTGGCTGTAAGTAAAATGTAATATTTTCTCCCTGTTTCCAACCCGTGAATAACCTACATTACGAAAGTGCGCATGAGATGGATGCAAACTTTTATTGCCGAAAATTATAGTGATAGATTATTCCAAATTTCAGAAGGCACTGAAAACTGAAAGTGTGTAATGACTTATTTGGCAGTAAAATCTGATGTGTTGTGAAGAGAGTCTGTTTATGGTATTTATCCTTTATCATTAGTTTCAGTGCAGAAATAGTAACATTTTTATTATAGTGGCATTATGTATGCAGCATATTACTTTTCTAAATTGTCAAAGGTTCTGGATTCCCAAACATATCTACTCTAGAAAGTTATGGATGAATCAACAACCCCCTAGGATTGAACTATCATTTTCCTTTCCTTGGATCCAAGAGTAAAATAGACAAAGGTTTAAAATAGTCTTACTTTCAAAATTGAGCATCCCTTTTTTGCTTTATTTATTTTGCCAATCTGAGATAATTTTTTTTTTTTTTTTTTTTTCTGAGTTGGAGTCTCACTCTGTCGCCCTGGCTGGAGTGCAGTGGCCGCTCCCGGCCACCGCAGCCTTGACCTGCTGGGCTCCGGCAATCCTTCCACCTCAGCCTTCCAAG